TTTTAAATTTCGTCAGTATCAGGGTATTTCAATGGTCAATTGCAAAAAGTAACTGTTAATTGCTGATTCAACATACCTAATTTTCCAAATTTTATGCCAAATATATACTTAAAAGCGAACTTAGCTGTGTTGCCAGCTGTATGCACAGGAGTCAGCTACAGCCAGGCAACATTACAGGAGTGGGCTGAGCGGAGCTACTGACAGGTAAGTTCGGAACAACGTTGTGACATTCACAATGACTCAACATGTCTCCTGTTTCATTTCAACTCTCTGCCATGTGTCATGACGACTGACACGTGCTTCGTTGTGTCGGTCATGCTTTTCGTTTCAGACCTTTCTCTCACTGGGATGTCACGGCAACTGCAACAACTCAGAGATAAATGTCTGTTTCCTCAAAATGTGGTGCTGGCTAAACGTTTCTGAACTTACTTTTAAAACCAGATAAATCTCCTGTATCCTACTGAAGCTGAATTCACTTCCTCAACTTCAGATTAGCAGAACAAGGCCTCAGGTTCCTCAACCTGATCATAACTCTTGTACAGCTTGACAAACTACACAACAACACACGTCTGAACACGAGTGACTCTTCTATACACACAACCAGGTCACAAACAGTCTTCATTAAAAGTCTAGATTTTCTCAGTCTTGATCTTGATGACTTGGAAGGCTAGTTCTCTAACAATGTCCACTTATTGTTCTGCCTCTGAAAAGACAGAGCAGATGGTGGCTCATGATTTTTAACTCTCTATCAAAGTCCACTTATTTTTCTGTGTCACTAATGACAGACTCCGTGGCTCATAGTTTTTACTCCTTAACTAAGTCCACCTATCATTCTGTCGCTCTAACTTGGCAGATCGTGTGGCTCATGAGTTTGTCTTAACCTCTGCTACGTCCACTTACCAGCTAATCTGGGGGGCTCAAAAGATTTTCTTAACCTTTGGTCTGTTCTCCAGTGGGCAGGAAGAGTGTTTCTCCTTTTTACCAAAGAATACACTTGTTCCTCCTCACTAGGATCAACAGCTCATAGTTCAATTGCTTCTACATCACTAAATCTAGCCTTCCGTATCACTTTCACCTGCTCTCTTTTCCTTACATCTCTTTCTTTGTACCTCTGGCTACTAGTGTTAGCCTGGGCCATGTTTTTTAACAAACACAAAGCAGATAGAAGCCAGCAAGCAATGTGCACGTTCAACACACCCTCATCCACACTGTCCACAACATGGCTTTTACATGCAGGACGCAACATATATGAGCTTTTTCACATCACACTTAGTTGTCACTGCTGTCTTAGTTTTATCAATCAATCTTGGATCATTTTAATTGATTCAGGACATACATGTGTCATTTCATCTCAAATCATCAGGGCCCTTTTGCTCGACTATCTTTTATTGTGTTTAAAGTTTTTCATAATAAATTATGGATATTTTAATTTGTATGACATTTTATCTTTATATATTAAATGCTTTTCATAGAGACATTCTTTGAACTGTTGCCCATCAACACACCTTCAGAACTTTTTGTAGCACAGTTGAATTTCAGGNGTTTATGTTTTGTGCAAAAATGCCTCAAGTTATTAATATTTGCATTAAATAATTATTATTTCACAGAGCACTGATATCCTGCCGTTTCTGTTCAGTTGTATCGGGATGATTACTGAAACTGACTTGATATGGCACAGCCCCACCTAGAATATTTTTCACCAGCCGCCACTGGTATCTATGTATCTATCTATCTATCTATCTATCTATCTATCTATCTATCTATCTATCTATCTATCTATCTATATGATAAAGCAAGAGATTTTCTTTGGCCTGACAACATTCTTGTTTTTCTGTTACACTTCTCAGATCTCCTATGCCATCAGTGTGAGCCACCCGCTCTCCATCGCAGTGTTTCACTACGGCACGTCCAACAGGGATGAAGACGAGCTGCTGCAGATAGTAAAGAAGAACTTTGACCTGAGGCCTGGAGTCATTGTGAAGTATGTGCAGTCTTTATTAGCTGTGTATCCTAAAATGAAACTTTGTCATTTTTTCCCCCACATAATACTGACAGTGTTTCTTTTACAGGGAGCTGGGTTTAAAACAGCCCATTTACCAGGCCACTGCCTGCTACGGCCACTTCGGCAGAGCAGAGTTCCCCTGGGAGAAACCAAAGCCTCTAGTGTTTTAAGTTTGGGATTAAACACGTTCCATTTATGTCCAGATGCAGCTGTGTAAACAAAAAGGTGCTGTCATCTGTTCATTTCTGACCGTAAATTGTAAAGGCAGCGGTCAGTGCCTTTTGAATAATGAACTTAGATATATTTTTAAATAATTATAAAACATTATGTGCTGTTGTTTGAGAAACTATAATTACTGTTCAAAAATGATTTCTTGAAATAATTGTGATTTCTATTCACGTTAAATTAAAAAAAAAAAAAAATTCTGTATTTTTTTTACTTGGTGATTAAAAATCTGCATTAAAAAAATGCCTTTTTTGTTTTTACATTACAGCTACAACTAGTAGTGGAATATAGGATTTGCTCAAGTACTGTTCTTAATTTTAGGCACTTTTCCTTTATGTGATATTAGTTTGACAGCTGTATGTACAGGCTGCTTGTGAAATATGTATTGACTATACTATACTATTATGTCCCCGTGAGCTAGGGGATGAGCGGAGTTACAAAAGTACAATGAAACCAGGTTAAAGGAACCAGGAAACTGATTGTTTAACAAAAAAAAAATAAATCAGGTTTATTTACAAACAGAAGAACACCTAATGCAAATTAAAGCAAAGCCAATCCTTAACCACAAAGCACCACACGCTTGGTTTGAGCCGGACTCAGGGCCACGAACACCACACAGCTCTGTCTGTCGGTCTGGCCCACTGGCCACGATCAGGTCGGCTCAGCTCTTTAACCGTCTTGGTGATTGCAGAGCAGCTGCACCTGGTCACTACTTCTGGTGTAACCTGAAAAGGTACTACACACCAATACTCGGCACCAAGGGCCGTAACATGTACTCAACCAAATATTGTGCATGATATTAAAAAAATGTATACGTTGTATGTGTCATACAACACTTAAAACAAGCTGTACATGGGCCAGCTGGAATGGTAAAATGCTGCTTATATGTGAAACCACTAATAATCATCGAATCATTTACCATAGCAATTGTTGGAGCACTTTTGCATTCCCAAAATACAGAAAATTGAGATCTTCCCACCTAATTAGGATTTACTATCTCATAATAAGAAGGACAGAATCTGATAATTAATATGATAGTATATAACAGATGTGGAGCAGGAATGGGAATGCTTCTTAACTTGCTTGACAATCCTCTATATTTTAAATTTCGTCAGTATCAGGGTATTTCAATGGTCAATTGCAAAAAGTAACTGTTAATTGCTGATTCAACATACCTAATTTTCCAAATTTTATGCCAAATATATACTTAAAAGCGAACTTAGCTGTGTTGCCAGCTGTATGCACAGGAGTCAGCTACAGCCAGGCAACATTACAGGAGTGGGCTGAGCGGAGCTACTGACAGGTAAGTTCGGAACAACGTTGTGACATTCACAATGACTCAACATGTCTCCTGTTTCATTTCAACTCTCTGCCATGTGTCATGACGACTGACACGTGCTTCGTTGTGTCGGTCATGCTTTTCGTTTCAGACCTTTCTCTCACTGGGATGTCACGGCAACTGCAACAACTCAGAGATAAATGTCTGTTTCCTCAAAATGTGGTGCTGGCTAAACGTTTCTGAACTTACTTTTAAAACCAGATAAATCTCCTGTATCCTACTGAAGCTGAATTCACTTCCTCAACTTCAGATTAGCAGAACAAGGCCTCAGGTTCCTCAACCTGATCATAACTCTTGTACAGCTTGACAAACTACACAACAACACACGTCTGAACACGAGTGACTCTTCTATACACACAACCAGGTCACAAACAGTCTTCATTAAAAGTCTAGATTTTCTCAGTCTTGATCTTGATGACTTGGAAGGCTAGTTCTCTAACAATGTCCACTTATTGTTCTGCCTCTGAAAAGACAGAGCAGATGGTGGCTCATGATTTTTAACTCTCTATCAAAGTCCACTTATTTTTCTGTGTCACTAATGACAGACTCCGTGGCTCATAGTTTTTACTCCTTAACT